TGCTTCGGCAGATTTCCGTTCCTCTATAACCTGGTCCCTCGTCAAGTTTCCATCGAACATAGTGAGAAATCTACACGGCTCTCAAACACAATAGAGGCCAGTGCGGACCGATCACTCTGGTCCTTCTGAGTCTCGTCTGTTCATTATGCCTGCGAAGTGTAACATCCCAGATACCCTTGCCACCTTCAGCCAAGATCCAGTGCTATAACACGGGCCAGCACCATTTGTTGGCCTCCGTCTTCTCCTTTATCTGGTGGCTATGCAGATTCACTTATATCAGTACTTAAAGCTAATTGTGAGTATGATTTTGCCTAGGACTCATTCAGCGTCGTCAAACGCCCTCCTAGGATATTTCCTTGATTCAGCATCTACGGTATGGTCCGCATCTCACTCAAATTTACCTTGCGATACTCTCAGTCCCCTCCCGACTCCCTTGCACCAACTGAGGTAATCACACGCGTGTCGATGACCGGAAGTCTATGCTATGACGAGGTCTATCTGACGGCGCGCTTGATGCATCTTCCCACCATAGAATTGAGTGATCCATGTTCTACACAGTCATGGTACTGACTGTCATCTTTCCAGGCCTGGCAGATTCGTCAACAAGGTTCTCATTATTTCAGCATCAAAAGCAATATATACGACACATTTTCTGAGCCGTGTATATCATCTTAATGCTTTACCGTGACCTCGTTCGCATCAAAACAAGGTCTCAATCCATTAACACCCCCTTCCACAGAATTGTCCTGATTATTGTTATGCCCCGCTTGCAAGTGATGATCAAACTTGAAAAACCTGGTAGTAGGAATTCGGAATCTATCATGTCGTACAAAAACACTCTTATACAAGTTGTCGCTAACCATAGAACACTCTTGTCATACCACTCTCATGATACGGCAAGAAATCACCGGCTGACTACGAAGGGATTCTATTTAGGTGTCTCTGACGGACCTAGCACGGGCTGAAAGTTGCAATATTGCGTTTTGCATATCTTTTCTCTTGAAATCTCGAGCACATTGTCCCTCTGCAACTATTACTCTGGTTAGTACCACATACATTTCATTTTCAACACAGCCATACTCCATTGCTTTACTTACACATGATGAAAATATCCTGTTCTTGAAAAGTCCATGTGAATAGCAATTTACCTCATTCTGATCTAGGTGAAAGCAGCCAAGGCAATTGCTTTCTTTCTTGAAGTCGATACTAGAACTTACCGACTTTAATCGGATATGGCAGGCTAATAAGAGAATTAAACAGGTCCAAGTATACCCACCAGAATGCACGTGGAGGCCTTGAGTGGTGAGTTGAAACCCGTTGTCCACTTGCAATTCGGTATACTTTTATGCACCAACTTTCAGCCCTCGGGATACGTTTGATTCAGATCTCTCAAATGATGATAATGGCGTGTCGTCTGATGTGGTACCCACAATGTTGAAAATGTCTGGCCATCTGATGTGAAACGAATACAAGTCCCCGAGGGTAGATGATCCAGCAAAATCCATACACCGTGGTTATTTCTTAGGGCACTTGCCTTCTCTTTATTTGGACGGACTGACAATTAGTTTGCAGATATGAGCACACTGCAATTTTCACAACGAACTCATATTGATGTCTTCAAAAATGAGCGCAAGGTGGACATACACAAATTGTGATTCTCAAAACTAGCAAGTGATATCTCTAGAGGTGAAGTGCAGTTATTCCACAATTCTGATAAATTTCCATAACTGTTGCGAGTTCGATAGCTCTGAAACTGGTCAGCGGAAACGAATGTCCGACGGAGCCTTCGGGGATATGACTGCCACCAATATATTCAATGAGCACGAGGAATTGGAAGAGCTTGGAGATCTTTCAATGAGCTGACGCTTGACATCCAAACGATGAATATCAAGAAATTTGGAATCCAACATGTCAAAAAGCGTTGACGATCTGATGTGCAACGGGAATTGTCAAGCAAATTTCATTGGGCTCAGCACTTCTGATCGATGATCATGTCTTATACGAATCTGCGGATAGAAAGCTACTTTGTATGTAATAATAAGATAATGGTTTTAGGACTTTGCAAGTTTGTATCGCCTAAGGTATGACTCGCTGGAAGGTACATTTAGATACAAAGTCATGAAATGCTGTTCAAATCGAAGGAAAAAAGAAAACCAAGGGCGACACGCTACTAGTAACGCTGCGAGCCCCGCTGGATCGTATCATTCGCGCCATCCAGCGCGACGCGATCCCCCTCTTCAGCTTCACCTTCATAGTACCGTTGATCCCGAATGTAGTACGGTCTCTCAGCATATTCCCCCATTGGTCTGTCCCTGAAGATACTGGGCTCGCGGCCTGGGCCAGTTGGTCTCATGCTCCCAACTCGCTGAACAACCTCATGTTCATAGCGAGGCTGTGGAGGATGGACACTGGCTGTCCGGATTATTCTCTCCTGGGGCACTCCACGCTCATCAACATAGACTGCATGGCGAGGAAGGTACTCCGCTACTTGTACACTGCTGCTGCGTGAGTACGGTTCATGACCTTCCAAAGGAGCAGCATAGCCTTGTCTCTCATCGGCTGCTACGGGACGAGCATACTCTGACGTCACTCGCCTGTAGACTGGCTGGGGCGGGGGCATTTCCTGCACATAGTGTCGTTCACCGTAGGGGTCTTGCACCACTGAAGGCGCACGAACACTGCCCGCGTGGTGGTGTACTCGTTCATCATAAACATCCTTTGACATCCGAGAGACTGGCCGAGGCGGGGGCGGGGGCGGAGGTGCCATCGGCTGCAGTCTGGGTGCCTGCGGCAACTCGTAGTACTGAGTGCCATGCTCATCAACCACGATCCGACGTAGAGGGGGTGCCATCATCCGTGCCGGCGGTGCCTCTTCGTAATAAGTCTCCCGATATGTTGCGGGCGGCATGTCATCCGCAGCAATGTAACGATGCTGTGTGTAAGGAGGGGCTTCTTCGTAGTACCTTGGCCGCTCTTGAACCGGGCGTTCCACAACGTATGATGCCGCTCGAACTGGGCGTGGCTGGGCCTCAACGTACTCACGAGCATAGTCTGATTGTCGAGCATACTGTGAGCTGGCAACTCGTCGAAGATCGACTTCCTCCCGAATTGGTCGTCTGATGCCTAGACGAGATATTGTGCGCTGGGCCCCAGCGTCTGATAGAGGCTCATGATACGGGTCAATCTCGTAAACTGGCTCTCGCACTGGGGGCCCGCGTCTTTCATATACTGGAGTGTATTGAGGAGACGCGATATCAATGTAGATCGGGCGCTCCGCAGGGTTTCGGCTGCGAACAACCGCAGGATCATCGGCGAATGGTGGCGGCGAAACAGGCTCCTCTTTAATGAATGCCTCGACAGGTTCTGGATTTTGTGTCCTGTGCGAGGTTTGACGGGGCCCTTCATCGCCTTCACGCAGCCTCCTCCGTTTCCGGGACATGACTTGAAAGACCGGTGGATTGGGACTGCCACGAGCAGAATCAGGGTCCGAATACACCTGATCAGAACCATGTTCGGATCGCTCATGCCGGATTTGCTGGACAGAAGGGACCTTCGAAGTTGCCAGGGGTGATACTCGGGATGGCCGGGGAGCTGCCGGTGATGTGATGTGGTTTCGAACTACTTTCACGTTTGCGGGAGACGGGGCCCTGCTGATATCTCCGGTCCGGTCGGTGTATCTGGCATCCGGCCTAGACGTTCCTCCGGCACCACTCTCTAACCCACGAGGATATTCACGATGATCTGCTGGAGCAGGTGGAGAATATTCGGGCTCGTCCACAGTCTCGAACCGATGCGAGTCGCGGAAGCGGCTGACGGGAGCCTCTGCTTTATCGTAGCGGGCCTGCTTCTGAGAATGGGAGTGACGCTGGTCAGCAACAAGGTAAGCATCTGGCATTTCCTGATCAGATCCAGGACGGTTGAGAGCTTCAAGTCGCTGCAACTCATCTGCGTAATGGGTTACCGGAACACGCGCGGCAGGTCCTGTGGGTGCAAGTATAGCCGCGGGGGATGACTTCTGTTGTCTGCCAGTCTGGGGAGGCGAGTCAGGAGCTCTACTGGAGTAAAATGAATTGTCGTCAAAGGAGTCACTGGCAGCACCGCCAGGTCCACTAGCCTCAGATGCATCGCTCAGCGAGACTGGTTTCACCGCCTCAAGAGCTTGTTTGAAAACCTCTGAAACATCAAAGTCGGGCTTCGTGTCTTGAACCGCAGGTCTCTGTTTGGTTTCTTGTTTCCTGAGCTCCACTTGATCACGCAGAGCTCTTTCCAATCTCTGCCTTTGTAATTGTAGTTCCGCCCTGATTAGGTCATCTGACTTGGTCAAGAAGATTGGATCGATCTCAGACGTAGGTTTTGAAGCCACACGGGCGGGTTGTGATGCTGCAGGCAAGGCGTTTTTGGCCGAGGCACTCTGCGAGCCATTGTAAGGCTGTTTTGTGGTTGTAACCACAGGGGAATTTGCCAATACGGCTTTCCGGGGAGGGTTTTTAGGTAAATGGGTTCGGAGAGGGACATTTTGGACATTTCTCCCAGGCTTGCGCACCAGGTGCTGGGGAACATTGAGCCTGGGATGAGTCCCCGAGAAGACTTGGTCACTGATGGTTAAGATTTTTTCGTACTCCCGTGCCTCATCATCCGTTTTAGGGGCTGAAACAGCCATGGGACCTGCTGGAAGGTGAGTTGCTGGCCCATGAGTTGCGGCCATGGTCCTGGGGAAAGCTAGGGAAAGGGATCGGGGAAGCTAGAACAAGATGGGAGAGACTGGAACCAGATATGTTTGCCAACGCGTAAACACACGTCAAATACCCACTCAGTCCAATCTACGATTGAGAAGGCTCTGAGGGCTGGATCGTAGAGCAAATGAAGTGTCGTAAAAAGTCCATGCTGGCAGTCTGGGCGCTAAATCCGATTAGGTAAGGTCACGGGAGTTGCTCAGGTGTCGGGGAAAGTGGAGGGGCGAGAAGAGGAAGCTGGCCTTACTTTCATCTTGTCTTTGACTTATGCATCAATCGTTTGCAATATCCTCCTGTCGGCTTATTAGACCTATTGCGACCTTGCCTAGACTTTCACCTGCTTATCTACCCCTCCGATTTCACAATTTAAGATCGATGGCAACCAACGGCGCCAACAGAGTCAGTGACTCACGGCCAGTCTTCTTCTTTGATATTGACAATTGTGTATGTCAAGAGAGCCTAAAGTTGGAATTTTGGTCACTAATTACTATGTGGTCCTACAGCTCTATTCTAAAGGTCGGTGCTCTTGATTTCCGCTCTTTATGAGCTACTATTGACAGTGTACCTATACGCAGCTTGCAACATCCACGATGAGATGCAGAAATTGATCAGTAAGTGAAGCCGACACAATATGCTGGGACATACAGCTGATACCACTATACTTTACTAGATAAATTTTTTGTCAAGCATCTGGACCTTAAGTCAGAAGATGCCCATATGCTGCACCAGAAGTACTACAAGGAGTATGGACTAGCCATTGAAGGTCTTACCCGCCACCACAAGATTGACCCCCTTGCGTTCAATTACGAGGTCGATGATGCTCTACCTCTTGACAATATCCTCAAGCCTGATCCGAAGCTGCGCAAACTGCTGGAGAACCTGGACACAACAAAGGTGAAGCCGTGGCTGCTCACCAACGCATATGTTAACCACGCAAAGCGCGTGTTGAAGCTACTTGGTATTGAGGATCTGTTCGAAGGTGTTACTTATTGTGACTACGGAAGTTTGCCCTTGGTCTGCAAGCCTAGTCAGGATATGTACGCCAAAGCAGAAAAGGAAGCCGGTGCTCCCAGCACGGATCAGTGCTATTTTGTTGGTATGTCACTCTCCACGGCATGCCTATGGAAGTTTTGGAACCTTTACGCTAATAGAGTTGAAACAGATGATTCCCACTTGAATTGTGTACATGCGCATGCTCGGGGATGGACTACCGTTCACCTCGTCGAACCAGGCATCCCTGTGCCACACAAGCCGGCTTCGAACTACACAATATCTAGTCTCCACGAGCTTCCAGTGCTTTTCCCGCACGCCTTCAAACAGCAACATGAAAGCGGTGGTGCTTAGGTCTGGACATGCCCACGATATTCTTTCTTTATTCACCATAGACTTTTGTTTTACTACTATAAATGTATATGATTATGGGCCTATTTATCTATCTGGAGACACAGGGCTTTGGACTATGCGAAACGAAAGCAGTGTTTTAATGATACAATAAAGAAGCAATTAGTTAGACGCGTTTTTCATCGATGTGTGCAGTGATCTACCTTCATAAAACTAGAGGTTTCTGCCTCAGGCAGTAAACAATCACTTGACGCGCTCCGCTGGACTCAGGAGTTGCCGTGTTTCCTTTCTCTCAACAACCAGAACTTCTCGGTTATCGCTCAAGAGCTCACCGTAGCTCTTGAATTTATTAAGCATGTCTGTCCAAGCCTTATCTACAGGCACGGTGATCGAGCTGCCCGATGGACGGCAAGCAACAGTGCGCTTCATTGGCACCACCCATTTTGCGGACGGACAGTGGATAGGCCTTGAGTTAGATGAAGCCACCGGCAAAAACGATGGCGCAGTCCAAGGCGAGCGGTATTTTGATTGCGATCCAGGACACGGCATGTTTGTCCGCCCAACGGTGGTTGGTAAGGTTGTCCGGGTCGAGCCAGGGAGTAAACAAACCACCAATCCGGCTACCAGCACCGCAGGGAGCAAAGCGCAGCCAAAACCTGGGATCTCAGCTGGTATTCGGAAGCAAACTGGGTTACCTCCTACAGCAGCTAGGCGGCAGAGCACCAATGCAGCCTCCACTCCTACTCCGGCGCCGAAGGGTGTGGCCGCTCGACCGTCTCTCCGAGTACGTCATGTCCTACGAAGGCGTTGCCTCGTATCATGCTAACCCAAAATCCTATGTTTTTAGTCCCCCACAAAGTCACCAACGAAACAGCTCGCAACGGCTGCGGGTCGCCCGTCCATCGGGAGTACTTCCCGCACCTCGTCAGTGGCGTCTAATCGACCGCGACTAGCCCCCAGTGCCAGAAGCTCCCTGGATCCTTCTCCAACACAGTCTGCGGCCCCTAGAGGCTCGCGACCATCGGCATCTGGACCAGCCGTCAGAGGTTCAAGACCAAGTTCTCAAAGTACCGTTGCTTCGTCGTCCGCCGGATTGACAAAGCGTCCTTCACTACGGCAGATTGGCAACACAAAAGCATCGGACGCAGGGGACGCGGCCATAAGCGGGCGATCTGGAGATCCGACCGATACTGAGTCGCCTGATACTGAAGGGGAGGGTAGGCAAGACGGAGCCACTGCGCCGAAGACCTCTCGACAGTCGATGACTGCTACACGACAAGCAGTCTCGCGTCCTGGGGCACCGCTCTCTGCATCTCAACGCCAAGGGCAGAGCAATGCAGTCAATCGCGAGCTCGAAGAACTCAATGCCAAGCTCAGAGTCATGGAAAAGAAACGAGCTGACGACAAGGAGAAGTTGAAGACCCTCGAGCAACTCCAGGCTGAGCGTGATAAGTTTGAAACGATCATCCAGAAACTACAGGCCAAGTATCAACCGCAACAAATGGAAGTCACCGAGCTGCGAAAAAGGCTAAAAGAACTTGAGACTCGTTCTGACAACGTGGAACGAATGCAGGCAGAGCATGAATCGCTCATGGAAATGGCTACCCTTGACCGTGAAATGGCAGAGGAGACAGCGGAGGCATTCAAACACGAGTGTGCAGCACTACGATTAAGGTTGGACGAGCTGAGTTTGGAGGTGGAGGTTCTCCGAGAGGAGAATGAAGAATACAGCCAGGAAACCACACCCGAAGACAGAACCACTCATGGGTGGCTTCAGATGGAGAAAACCAATGAACGTCTCCGCGAGGCGCTCATTCGTTTGAGGGATATGACCCAGCAGCAGGAGTCAGATCTTAGGTCACAGATCAAAGAATTGGAGGACGACCTCGAGGAGTACGCTGCTGTCAAGTCTGATTACGAGGCTGCAAAGGAGAGGCTCTTGGTGGCTGAGACCAATGTCGATGATCTCAAGCAGCAGCTGGAGACAGCACTGGGAGCCGAAGAAATGATTGAAGAATTAGCAGACAAAAACATGCGCTACCAGGACGAGATTAATGAGCTGAAAGCTGCCATCGAAGATTTGGAATCTCTCAAAGAGATCAGTGATGAGATGGAGTACACCCATATCGAGACTGAGAAGCAACTGCAAGAAGAAATTGAGTACCGAGATAGTGTGTTCAGCGACCAATGCCGAAAGATCACGCAACAGGACGAAGTTATCGAAGACCTTGAATACACATTAAGTCGTTTCAGGGATTTGGTAACGAACCTGCAGTGTGACTTGGATGATATGCGCACAACCAAGCAAGTTTCAGAGGCAGAGACCACTGAAAATGCAATGCGCCACCGCCAGATGCAAGATTTGAATATGAAACTACAGGCCAACCAATCAAAGGCCCTGACCAAATCTATCGATGTCGAACTGAACCGTATGGAGTCCGAGGAAAATGCACAGCACCTTTCAATGATCAAGCTCTATCTTCCAGAGTACTTTGAAGGGGAAAGGAATTCTATCCAGGCTTTGCTTCGATTCAAGCGTGTCGGATTCAAAGCCAATGTTATGAGCAGCACTCTACAAGAAAAGGGATCTGAGCACTCAGTAGTCTCCAACGAAGAAATTTTCCAAGCTCATGTGGTTTTGGAATATCTTATGTGGATCTCAAATGTGTGTGATCGGTTTGTGAACTATATCACAGCTTGCTCGCCCGAACAATTTGGCAGCATCAAGGTCGCATTGTTCGAAATGGAGCCAGTGGAGCGCATGTTCAACTTCTGGATCGAGCCTTTGAAGAAGGACGAGGTGAATCTTGCAAAATTTGCAGTGGAATTGCAGCGGTCTATCGCTCTCCTCGCACACCTCGCTGAGACCCTTCTTCCTTCCAGCCTGGAGATGTTTGCCGATGAGCTTTGCATGCGGGCCCATTTATCTCAATCGTACATTGAGCATTCGGCCGGTGCAATCTCACGCGTCAAGCTCATTATCAGCTCCAAGATGGTTGCGGCGGCAGAAGGCGATGAGGAAAACTTGATTGCTCTGAACAGATTGGACACTTTCTCCTCCCAGGCCCGCGGATACAAGGTTGCGATGGGTAAGATCAGCCGGTCTCTTGATGACCTACGTTCGAGGTCACTTGCGCTTCCAAAGGACGCCGATGAACCTTTCAAGAAGATCGAAAACGAAACCAAGCAACTTTCGGAGTTTGCTCGAAAGCTTGGCGAGAATCTTGTTATCCTCACGAGCGATGAAGCTCGCACGGAACCATTCAGCCCGGAGGATGTTCTGGACTGCATGTCCCAGGCCGCCGTGTCTTTTGCCTCGTCCTCCAGACCCTCGGATGAAAGTAACGACCCTGTTTCGTTGCTCTTTGCCAAACTGCGGGAAGTAGGCGACCAATTTGAGGAGCTTGATTCCATCTCATCAGATCTGTCTCGTACAACAGAGTTTGAGAGAGCCGCATTCCCCTGGGTTGCCCGTGCTGCGGAATTGAAGTCCAACAAAATGACATCCCCTGATGCAGACGAGGAGATCCGCCAATTAAGAAATGAGATTCACGAGGCGTCCGCCGCACTTGGAGTCAAGGACAATACCCTCGAAGAGCAGGGCCTAAAGATAGAGCATCTTGAAGCTAGGATGCGAGAGGCAAGCAAAAAGGCTGCCATGGTCAAAGAGCTCGAAGCCAAGATCGAGGAAATTCAAAAAGCAGGGTGTGAACTCGAAAAAACAGTTGAACAACAAAAGAAGGAGCTCCAGACAGCCGAAGCAGAGCGAGACGAGTTCATGGCTCGTCTTGAGCGAATGAAGCGCATGTCTGGGACAGCCGGTCTGACGACCACAGGTAACGGCGCCGTCACCGCCAGTGAGGCTTCTTTGGCTGCCATGGACGAGAACGAGTCTCTCCGCGCCGAGGTTGCAAGCCTCCAAGCAGCCGTGCGTTTCCTGCGCGAGGAAAACCGCCGTTCGAACATCCTCGACCCATACTCCGTCCAGCGGTCTACTGAAATGCACGGCTGGCTGAACGCGCCGCTCGCACGTGCCAAACCAAACCCCGAACAAGAGAAGATCCAACGCACTGCTCTCGAAAGTCGGGACGTCATGACCCATCTCCTTAAACTGACCAAGGAGGCCCGTGTCCCCGATCTCAAGTCCACGATGACTGTCCCAGCTAGTGACGACAATGACAACGCCGGCCGCACTACATGGCGCCCGTCCAAGACCCGCCTCCGTTATCAGGTGCTCCAGCAGCGCGAAAACTTCGAGCACTGGGCCGAATGGCGCGATGAGATTGTCAATCACGAACGCGAACAAGACCGCCTGGTCGCCGCCAAGCAGGAACGCGCAATGCGCGATCGCGTCTCCAGACATGCTCACAAGGCTTCTGTCGAATTTCCTCAGGGCTTAGGTCATGGCATGATGGGTCGCGCCTGGCAGATTCTGGGAATGCAAAAACACCGCAAAACCGACTCCATAAGTACCCCTGCTCCGGACTGTGTGGAGATAGTGGCCACAGACTGAAGCTTTGATTTCGTTGTATGAAAGCTAGAACATCGATCTTTTGTGGTTTTACATGACATTCATCCTCCTTTTTTCACTTGTACCCTATTTGTTTTTCTAGCAGCTACAATTGTCCTTTTTGAGATACCCTACAGAGATAGTTAGCGTCAGCCTTCATGTACAATTAACTTATATTCCGGACGGATCAGATATCATGGCCAGATGCCATGTATGTCAGCCTGGAGCTTAAACTCCCGAGCTCTGCGTTTCTGTTGCATAAATGGTCTTCTCCTTACAAATTCTTCTCAGAATAGTCTTCGTAACCTATCAAAAATCCCATGTAGTCATATCGAGACTGTAACTATTCATTATTACTTCCCTACATAGGTGAGCTATATAACTTCGTTAATCCTGTCAAATAGCAAAGAACTAACCAACCGGGGTCGAAACCGAGCACTTAGAGAAGGAGGAGAACTTCCGACATGCATTCAAAATCAGTTTGTTGCAAGAAAATGTCATTTTCACCCGGCGCTGGGAGGCGGTCGTACAGGGCGACGAATGGAAACACCATAGGGGCACCAACCACCAGGTTGGGCTGTCCGGCGACCGCGCTGAGGGTCACTCTGACCTCGCTGGCACAGTAGGGCTGTTGGACCGGTACCGGTTGTGTGATAAGTGGGGGTGTGTTCGGCACTTGTGAGCAGGGCATATCGGTATACGCGCGGGTGAAGGGCCGGGGGGCATTCGGCGGGGCCAGGTACCACTTTTCATAAAAGAAAGTTTGCGATCGGACCTTGACGAGGATCACAAACCGGACCTCTCCGTTCGAGTCCGCGAACCACTTGAACGCATCCTGGCGAAGGCGTGGGAGCGACTCCGAAAACCCCGTTTCAATAACAAGGGTCGGCCAGCCGACGGTTAGCAAGCACCGAGAGGGCGGAACAAACACATCATCGCCCTGCTTCCCTTTGCCAGCGGAGAAGCGGTATGTCGTCGCTCCAAACCACAAGGGAATTCCCATACCAACTAGTTTAGAAGTGACGAAATTTGCGAATTGACGTGTCACCCCTTCATGGATATGGCTAGAAACGACTTTAATAAGCCCAGTGGTTTGTTCCCATTGGAACCGATAGGTTACTCCCCCGAGGCTGGTGTGGGGATCGTTGTCCAGCCTCTCAATGATGTTTGGGGGCAGGCCCAGCACCACAATCCATTGATTTCCGTCATCATGGTCCTCAAACCACTTCAAAATATTTCTAGCCTCAACTTGGAGTGTCCCCATGCGAGAGAAGGTTCGGACGATACGCCCTTCTGGAAGACCTGACATAAGGGAGGACGGGGATTAGGGTCTTCCAGGTCGGTGGGATTGGAGAGGTTTTTTTCCGGAGTCATCGCCAGGATCGTGTCTTTATTCAGCCCGTCACTATGACAGGTACCTGCAGTAAGCCTTATTTCTGGCCAAGCTCAAATGATGAAAATGGCGCTGATCTGGGAGTGGAGATGCCGTTACTGGAAAGGTAAAGCTGGTCTGTGTTAGCAACAATTCATCACTTACAGTAGTGATGGGCGCAGGGAAAATAGAAGAGAAGGTTTGGGAAGGGGGGGGACCTGATATATATACCTTCCTAGTCTAGCAATTGTGACTTCTACAAGCTTACTTTCTGACGGACGTCTCGATCTATGTCTACCACTATAGTGTCTACACTATACATATGTAGTCTCTACACTAGAATACCTAGATACACTAGGTAATGATACTATCTCTAATAAAGAGACAAGGCTCCTCTAGAATAAATTCGAATCTAAGCTTTTAATGAACGCGAGTGGCTTCTTATTACTATAAGAGAGGCGATTTTCGGAGGCTATAGAGGGCTTTAAGAAGCCTCTAAGATTTGGTTCTATCGCGGAAATCTTTGGGTATCTAAATGTATGTATATAGCCTCGTCGAGGTTGCTATTTAGGAATACACTGTGATGCCGCTCAGCGTACGGGTTCGCTCCCAATTAAAACCGTTGCCGCCGGGTAGGAAGGCTTGCTTTGGGGTTGGAGAAAGCTTGGTTGGGGTAGGGAACATCCATTGAGTTACGCGGTTTGAAAGAGAGGAAGGGGCCGAATCGATTGTGTCTCGATTTTCGGGAAGTGGAATGGAGGGACGACGTAATGATGAGATTAGTGACGGCATCGTGCGCGAGCTGGCTGACGAAGGGCTGTCCGTGGACATTACTGAGTACTTGGATGGGGACGTATCCAGTGATTCCGGCAGGCTCTTGCATGCAGGTGGAGTCCGAGGCACTCTTCCCCAAGATTGGCTAGCTTCTGTCTCATTCGGCCATGGGGTATTCAACGTAAGCTGTTTCCCTTCAGATATTGACCTGCTATGGACTGGAGATGCTGGCTGAGCTTCTGGAAGAGGCATCTCGATGGGAATGAGCTTGGAGAAATGCGGAACTAGAGCACTAGTGGTGCGAACGGGCTCTTCAACAAGCAGCAGCTCCCGATTTCCAAGTGATCGGCGTTTCTGGGATCCCACTGGCTTACGAGAGATTACCGTTGCCTTTTGGCAATATCGATCTCGAACGCCGGTTGAGGTCGTGAGGGCACGAGGGGGCACCGGTAGCGTCTTGCGCTGGGTGTTCTCGTTTAGTTGGAATGTTTCGAATGAAGGTAGGTCAGACAGTCGATTGCCTGATCGATGAATGCGGAGGTCCAATGGTTGATAGGTTGGTGGTGGAGGAGAATGGAATGACTGAGGCGGGTGATCGTGGAAGGATTGCACTCTGCGAAAGTCTGAAGGTGCGCCGATCTTCAACGGGGTGGTTGAAGATCGTTTCAGAGACATGCTTGCCCGGTTGGAGGCTCGCGAGGCCAAGTTCCGGCTGTCGTTGAGCCATGATGATAATGAGTTTCGATGTCGATGGATACTTGGACTGGGGAGGTCATCGTATACCACTAGCTTCATGGGTGGCACAAGGTGCGGTTGAGTGGCGCATACTTTCATATCCCGCTCAAGGCCTGTGATATATATTTAGTTACTATCTCTGGAGTTTTGCCGTATATTGCACACATACCGTTCCCCTCTTGTCCAGGTTGACAGCCATCCTCACCCAGTGGGCATGTCAGGCATGATCGTATCCAACCAGTGAATAACGACCCTGCCTTCTCCAAAGCCAGCATGATGGCGACCAGCGCGTCGAGAAATCAGATCAATCCATCACCTTCGAGGGAAGGAAAAGAGAGAACGAAGGAAAGGAACAAACCAGTTGCACAGGCAAATCAGCCCCTTCGACGGAATGGGAACATCCCATCCTAAAAGCCCAAACATGAGCGCCTTACCCAATTAGTCCAGGTGCACACCATCGTTGGCACTAATAAACCGGGGCTATGCCCAGTAAAGAAATACATCCTGGCGCCAACGCATTTAGCACCACTGATCGTCGATAACGGAGCTGATTGAAGCACTACTATTCGTTGGCGCCAGGTGGAGTTATCACATCTGTGCTTATTTTTTTCGAGCTACACCCTGTCAGTTACTCTCTATTGTGATGAAAAAGTTGGGCGCTTACAGAGATTGAAAGGATAGTTCTATTTCCTTAGGATTTCTTGGGGTTTCATAATGTTTTGCATTCTTCTGTTTCGGTTTGAAGGGTATATACAGAGACAGATACCAATATATCAGACCGAGAATGACTAAATGAGTAAATAAGGTAGATGATCATAATCCAGACATCAATAGGCAAAGGACACTACAGAATGCGCTATTTGCCCCATACATTGTCCTGCTCTAAGCCGTCGTAGGCCCATTTGGGCTGATCTTCGTCATGATTAGACTCTGGCTGTGTCGAGTTGGCTTCAGTCTCTTCTTCGATTGGCTCATCGGAAAGTCTTCTGGAATTAGGGCCAGAGTTAATAACTCTGCTGTGAGATCTCTCGGGCTGCTGCCCGCCAATCATTCGGGAACTTACGAGAATCGTCGAGGTTCGGGCTCTGCCCAGGCAGTGCCATACTCTCTCTGTATTTGAGCTCGATCTTCTTCCTCGGCCTCCGTGTTCTCCACAACAAGGTCAACCAGCTGGCTGCGCTGTGTACCGCTGGAACTGGCGGAGCTGACGTTTCGCTGCAAGGGACCGGAAGTCGCCGAGCTTGGGCCAAGTTTATTGTACTTTGGTTTTGGACTTTCCCTGCTCTCACCATCTGACGCGCGACTTTTCCTGTGCCTACGGGCCTTTTTGACATCTGCCCCTCGGTTTGAATCTTGATTTCTCCGCGACGGTGGCAGCCGCTGATCCCTTGGCACTTCGTTGGCGGTAATCACCGGGTACTATGCGCGGTCAGCGTCGCAATCACAACGAACAACCTGCATCTGGATAACTTACATTCCAGTCTCCAAATTCCAGTGCGCGAGCATTGAGGAATAGTCGCTCGTCCTCGTCGTCCATTGCGGTTTCATCCATTTCACTATAAGATCGGAATCTCTCTCTCGAGGCTTGACTGGCCCGTTCACTCCTGGGGCCGCGCTCACTGGGTTCGCCGCCCAATAGAGGCGTGCGGCTATTGACTTCACCCGGTTTGGGAATCCAATATTTTGCCTTACCTCCACGCTCATACCTCATGCCAGCCATTACTCGCTTGACCCGCGAGCCTGACTCCTCATGCGGGATGATATTATCACCCGAGTCAAAGAGGCGGTATCCGTAATTCTTACCGCGGACGGTGAACTTGGTATCTTCGACCAAGTCCCGCACCCCAAAGGCATCACGCATGGCGTATTTTACGGGCATGCGTGCAGCTGAGATGGTCGGATCCGCGTAGTCGTGCCACGAAAATGCATACCAGTGAGCCATGGCAAATAATGGCATCTCAAAGCAGATGAGACTGTCCTGAATGGCCGCTGCAAGGTTATCGGGGGTGTACCCAGCAACACTACCAAGCGCTCCCAGCCACTGTAGGATCGACAAGAAGAAGCCTTGCCAATACGAGGCAAAAATAATGAGTTTGACGCAGAGAAATTTAGGGACTGGGCGGAATGGCGTGAGGTCGTCATGCAGACATACCCAGAACATGGCAAGGGAGTAGAGACTGATCGTGACGCTGACATTATATATGATACCTGTCCAGAGGTATCCAGAGCCCAGCCCAATATAGCCCTCTTGATACGTGTCAGTCGCCTTCATTACGATGGAGGCAAGAGCTAGAATGGGCTTCAACCAAGCATACTGCAGGATACCACGTTTGACAGCGAGGAAGGTGTAAGGATCCGAGATGTCAACCTTTGGGAGGAAGTGATTGAGAGGCCAGGCATGAGAGACGGGAGGGCGGCCATGGGCCATGATAATCACGGCCCGCTCGCCGCCGAGGAAGTTGATGAGGAGCTGGAAGAAGGTATAGATGGTAAATGCCTGCCAATGCCATCCGTTAGTACGGGCCTATGCGACAGTCGTGGAGGACCCAACATACCTCGTAGATGTCGCGAACAGGATCCAGAAACTGAGCGGCCATTAGCGACACGATGCTCGTCCATGAGGATACTGCGTAAATCGGGACCCTAAGCTCAATCAGCACTGCTCTTTGACCCCGCCCCCTGAGCTTATACTCGCGTCAATACTGACATCAACAATATGCGCACCACGTAGCGTTGGAGCAAGGGTTTCCGGTAGTTTTTACTATATATATGGTGAGCTGTGGCTCTCAAATTGGGACGGTGTAAGCTCGTACGTTTGAAACCATATCGACCTGCGGTTCAAGACAACATGTTAGCCCAGGAGACTACAATGATCGCGCCCATGAGTTAGGATACACGGGATAGATTAGACTCACACCAAGGACAAGAGAGAGGAAACCAAAGCCGAGACACCTGTGACAATGATAATTGCGCGTGCCAGGCTGGAGCCTGTTCCTCCGCCAGCTGCGGTCATCATGATCGTTGAAACTTAGGGACAAGCACGGGTTGGGGACCGCTTTCTGCCTGCGGAGATAATCCAGCTCATTCCGCGGAGTCGATAGAGGGGCAAAACATGCTGCTCAAGACCGAAATGGGGGGAGAAAATCAAGCTGGAGAAATGTCGGTTCGGAATGAGGAGCGTGTTGTCCGATGACGATCTTCTCGTGACACCGCTCTCGGACTTCCTAAACAACGTCCTCACCGTGCGACTTCCAGAATATTTGACCCAGCCACTTTGGCGTCGATGATTGAGAGTTAAGTCTGGCTAGTCATTCGCGTTCTATCGCGCCGACGCTATCCATGTTGGCTGGCGGAGAGAGATGGGTAGCGCAAGCTTGACATCGACCTTCCTGACGCCGGATCCAAGCTTCAATTGGTATGGGATCGCTGCTTGGACCATGGCTGTTGTACTGATTGATTTAGGTTCTTCCTCTTGGAACTGATTGTCTCTTGCATTCTGTAAGTTTGCGCTGTTCAACGCGGCTGGATTACGCTGATCATTGACATAGCGCTCTGTTCTTTTTGCTCTACTTCAATCGGCTATTCGCGAACATCATCTCTTACGCGATTAGAGCATACACCTGGCATTACTACCGCGCATATGTTGATATCAACGCACTTCAAGTCTCCCTACTTGGTGGGAGAATCTTCTTCAAGGGCATTCGGTACCATGGCGTGAACGAGACGGTCTTTATTCATGGAGGATTCATAACGTGGCGCTATTGGACGCGTACAGTCGAGCGAAATGACTTGACCGGAATTCGAGGCAACACAGGTCTTGCTCATCATACCTCAAGGAAAGGACATGCGCGGTCCGCGCGCGATGGAACGGACGTCAATCTGGGGGAGCAAGGTGGCATGGGAAAGACAACCGAATTGCCGTGCCGGATCACTATCAACACATACGGCCTTGAATGGTTTATCTACAACCGGACTCCCGCCTATGACAGTATCCTTACTGGCTTTGGATACTCTCCCCAAAATGTTGATTTAGACGATGACAGTTCAAATCCTCCAGGGTCTCACACGATGGCAGAAGATGGCAATGAAAGCAATGCCTTTGATTTTGAAGATACGCGTGGCCATCGGCCAACCCTGAAACCCATGTCAGAGCGCAGCGCGAGTGAGATCGGCGGGGTTGCGTCACAGAATACTATTCGTGAATCAGAACTATCGGACCCCGTGTCCCACATGTTACAACTCCTGCCTATAAAACTGGATTGCCAGAAAGGGGCAATCGTCATGGGAAATGAGCATACTCGATCTGTGTTGACAACCACATTCGACACTGGAACGGGTACCATCGATGCTTCCAATTCAGGCCCTCTTGATCTGTATCGTCAAATATTTTCATTTCAACTCAGTAATCCGGTGATTCAAATGCGGCCAAACCCGGACTTCAAGCAGAACCAGGCGGCGACCGCTAAAGACCTAGGTGCAGTGCAAGAGAAAGAGCCCAAATCGAAGAAAAAACCGCAAAATATCTTCAACTACCAATTCCAGAGGCGCAGAGTTTGGCACAGCATTCGAGACTTGGTCCCATATTTCCAGACGTCTGTCGAATCGTTCCATGACGATGGCAGACACACCAACGGTATGCCGAGGAGCCAGTCAGAGTTTCCTGAGGTCCGCTGGACCGGTCTCTCTCGGTATCTGGACGAAGACAGCGAGGATGACCATGGAAAATGGAACTCAGTGGAATATGGCAGGTTCTCTACCATCGTGGATAGCCCCAGCTTGAATATAGCCTACTTCTGGGACGTCCCTGGACGAGTGATTATTCGACCGACGTCAACTGTTCGGTCTCAATCAATGGATAGCAATATCAATTATGCTTCTCCCCCGGAATGGGGGATTGACATCAAGATTGACGGAGGTACGATAAATTACGGACCATGGGCTAATAGGGAGCGGGTTGGCCTGCAGAATGTCTTTTTTCCAAACTTCTATCGCAGCTCTGAGGCGACAGAGCACCTAGCCCCCGGTGTTCTGCGACGAAGCACAGCATTTAGGTTGCGCGTGGAAATCAATAAGGAATTGACATTGCGAATTCCGATACGAGAGTCTTCCAAGGATTGGCAATGGAAGGGTCGCGCTGATGCCGTTGGGGGTGCATCGAGAGCAAAGAAGCCAAATGACCAGAAAAGTGCTCGAGCCAAAGAAGGTGAGAAGGGCTACCTTGGCCCTGAAATTCGCCCGTTTGGGTGGCTTTCCCTTTGTGTTGCCGCCGACTCTACCGTCAATTATACCATGGACATGGTGGGATCGAGCGCAGGGTTTCGTAATGAACTTTCTATTGACTTGCGAGAGTCAAAACTATCATCCAGCATCAATCATGGGTTGCTTTGGCAATGTCCTCGGCAACAGGTCACTTGCGATTTGTCCAACCCGCTCTCCTGGAATAGTCTTCGCTCCTGGAAATTTACCGCCGAAAGCCAGGACCTACAGTTGTTTCTCCTGCGTGACCACATATTCCTTCTCACAGATCTTGTAAGTGACTGGGCTTCAGGACCGCCTTCGGACTACTACGCATTTGTTCCTTTTATCTACAACCTCGATCTCAATTTCTCCGACTTCCAACTTTACATTAATGTCAACGACCGAAACATCATCAGCAATCCTTCGGATGTAGAGGACAACCGATTCATTGTCATCAAAGGCAAGCGCCTGACGTCGAATGTCATGATACCATTGAACAAATACCAGCCTGAACAAAATGCCATCGAGTTTAGGATCAACCTTGAAGACGGCGGCGTGGACTACACAACACCTCTGTGGGATACCCTGCATGAATTTTGTCCACAAAAATCCATGGCCACTCTTGAGAAGTTGTTCATTGACGGCTCTTATAATTATTTCCAGTCAACATCCCCGGAACTGACTGACACGCTGATTCTCAACATCCATGGAACTTCACCTCGTCTATACCTTTTCGGATTTTTGATCAAGAGTTTCATGACGATTAGAGAGAACTATTTTGGCGAAGAGATGCACTTTAAGACACTCGAAGAATATCAAGAGCTGGTCTATGCCGACGAGCCACCGTCAAATCCCACCGGCATCAACCCAAACCGAAAGTCAAATGACATGGATGTGCTTGTGCGTGTCACGGTTGACGGCCCCCGCGCTTTGCTTCCTGTGAATATCTATGATCACTCAAAGTGCATGGGACTTAGCGCAGCCTCGCTCGAAGTGGATTTGCGCTTTACCAACTACTATATGGACTTGCAATTTTCTGTCACTCCGCTGAAAATTGATTTGGAGACCACTCAACTGGATGGCCCTTCCACTATCTCTAGCACTCAGCTGTTCATCGATGGAATCTCGGTTTACGGTCATCGTCTGTTTGGTTTGCCGCCGCTTGAACCAACCTACGTTTGTAATTGGGATTTCGACGTTGGTAGAATTGTCGGAGAATGCTCCACCGAGTTCTTGGCCTGTTTGGCTTCATCTTTGACGAGCTTTGATATCTCGTTTGACAACGACGAAAATGCGTTGCCAACGCTGTTCCCGGAGCTTCTTTTTGATGTGACTTTCTTGAGAGCCAAGATTGACTCAATTCATGTTTCCGTGCTACTAGACCAAACAGCTGTGATTTTGAGCACGCGGCCCTCGAATGTGAATTTCAACGATTGGGCAAACACCAAGTTCTCGAAACGCATGAGCCTTCTCGTTCCAGATATATCGATCGCTGCCGTTGATCGCCAATCTGTCTCTCAATACAATCCATCAGCGGGAGAAATGATCTCCCCCATAGGACTTTTCCAACTCACAATTGGGCTGAAGATGGCTTTGCGCAAATCTGATATTGCCGAAAGTCGACGACTCCAGCAAGAACATATCAAAATACATGATCAACGGACTCACAGGGCACAGTGGTTGCTTTTTGACTGGGAGGAGACTGGCCCAGCTTCAACCATTCCTCCTGATGACGACGTATTCCCTGCAACCATGGCCATACCTTCAATGCCCGAACCTATTCATGACAAGATTGGTTCTGTAGATGCACCGTCATACCAGGGAGCTTCAGGTCCTCGTTCCACTGGAAGCGCCAAAAGCTTTCTTGTCCAGTCAGAAGCATCAAGTGTGAAAAGTGTCCGGATACACACTGCCAACAGCCCCAGAGCAGCCTCAGATCCTGTTTCCAGATCACAACCTTTTCTGCCTACAGGAGGATCAAGCCTGTCCGTCTCAAACCGGTCGAAAGATAGACCAAACTCCGCGACTCGGGCAGCAGCATCCTCGCCTTCTGCGACAAGGGACGCGAACCCGTGGGTAATGCCACATTTCTCGTACCACAAGCTTCATCTAGATGCATCGGAACTTCCGTTGCCATTTGAAGATGATGACGACACAATGGGTGAAGACTCTGCGATGAATCAAAAGTCCGTGTTTCTCACATTTGATGATGATCAAACGAAATACACGAATCTTGCGTGCAACCTCCCTCTTGGTATCCGAGGATTTTGTACCCCTAAATTCCTTTTAAGTCTCGCTACCTTACTGAATGGGTTGGAACCGAAGCATCCTACGCGAATTATTGACTCGCTTCAAAAGGATGTGGTATCGAACATCGTTGGTTATGACAAAGCCATGGGCCAGCCGAAAATTTCGACAGCTGTTGCTCTTCGTGTTCCGTCTATTCAATTGCGACTAGTTGACCTGTCTGACGCTCCCAACAACAATCAAGTCGAGTTCCGAGATGAATACAGCATCGAGATCCGTCGTCTGCATACTGAGTTCCGGAGAAAGGTTCAACGTCAGAAAGGCGATCTACTAGAAGGTCTCAAACAAGGTGTGACGGTTCATGCGGCAGCGGACCACGTCTCAATTTCTATTGAGGGTAGTCGAGAAGATTCTTTCCACGAGAAGGCTGTGTTCAACTCTCACATAGAAGATATGAATTTCTGGCTCGTGACCTCGCCGAAATTTCGCTCTAATCTTCAGATGCGAACATTCAATACGATGACATCAGCG